ATATATATATATATATATATATATATATATATATATATATATATATATATAAATTGCCGTATGCAATAGATCAGCTCAAAAATCAATCAATTCGATATCGCCACTCTTATTATAGGAACTCTACCCTGAATAGTCCTTTGTCATTTGACTAACTAACTCATCTGATCTAGCGTCAAACAAAGCATTTCTATAGCCCTTAAACTTTCCTCCGGATACTCTAAATATACTCTGATACCCAATTGGCGCATCCGATAAACGCATGGTATGATAAATGAAATGACGGCCTAACCCAGTATATTACAACATTCTTCTTCCTGATATTCCTTATTTAATGAATATAATCATTATCTGGTTACTTTTTAAGTACTATCTGGCTTGTTTCTTTTTCAATAGTCGACGACACTGTAATTTAATTTACTGCAGTCATTGCGTATGGACAGGGTCCGATGCTCAACATTGACTGCATATGGAAGTGAGACATCATGACAATGAGCTAATTCCATGCCGTATATAGAACCAAGTTTTTTCAAGTTCTTGATAAGCTAATTAACAGTTAAATCATGAATCTGTCTTTGGCTAATTTGGAAAAAAATAAAAACAGACATATGATTAAACTATTAATTAGCTTATCAAAAAGTTGAAAAAGTCTACCAACAGTGATCGATTTGTTGCTGTGCGGTCTATAATCTTCTTCAACCTATAAAATAAGAATCCCGGATTATAGTCAATTAGAAAATCCATAGTCTAAGGGTTAAAATAGACAGTTAATTTAATAATAGATCAATCGAAAAAAAATAATTACAGTATATTTTAACAATCTGTACTATTGAATATAAGTTATAGTGTCAAGAAAAGAAACCAATTTACTTGGACGTATAATGCAAGAGAAAAATACAATTTTGAAGTGATAATTCAATATAGTTGCAGTAAGGACACGGGAGCGTTTTGAACTAAATTTTAAACTAAGATTCTATCAATATGTGTTGTGTACATGTGTCGTGTACAAAAAAAGTGCCAAATTCTAACAGTATGTATCAGTATGAGATAATCAATACGTTAGAGAAAAATAGAGAGAAAGAATGTGTGTGTGTGTATATATATGTGTGTGTGCGCTTGTGTGTCAGAGAGAGATGGAGATGGAGAAGTAAAAGACATAGGAGAAAAGGAGAAAAGATAAAAGAAGTGTGAGGAGAGAAATAAAGAAATGAGGAGAGCATGGTGTGAGGAGAGCAGAGTGACGATAGAAAAAAGGGAGCGACGTGATTTCATGAATTAACAAATGAAAACTGATCTGTTTTGTCAGACAGTACATTACTTAAATAAAGTAAATAGAAGTGGGAATGATGATTGACATCTATTAGCACACCAACTCGATAGAACAAACCTAACCAAAGCTTATACCTCTCGGCGGCAACGCTCTCCATCGTTCTGCGCATTAACGGATACTGGTCCAATACAGCATTGAAATGGTCCACCGAGAGGCTGAAAAGATTGCAATAGGTCTCCGCTCGAACTGATGCTACCCTCCTCGCATTCGTCAACAGACAGATTTCGCCGAAGTAAGATCCGTCTGACAACGAGGTCGCAACTTCCCCATTTGCCATCACAATATCGACTATGCCCTCTTGTATGAAGTACATTTTCGAGCCGATAGTACCTTCCTTAATGATGATATCACCTACAATTTCAATTAAATATGTTATATATTTAATTGTTATATGTTATATATTTCGATTAAATATGTGATTAAAAGATGCGCGACAAAATATCTTTGATATTGTAAGATCATTTTGCACTTGTCCGTTCTGTATTTATTTGTATAATCAGATCATCAAAGGTGTAACTTTTCCTTGATGTATTTTGCAGTGTATTTCGTACTCAATAAGAAAATATATTAAATAATTTTTTGAGAACCTGAAAACTCATGAAGGTGGAAATATGGAGGGAACGGGCATAAAGTGTCTTTAATGAACACGGGGAGCATTGATGCCAGTTTCGGGTCACTTATAGTATGCTACAGTGTGTGGAGAGGGTAATGCACACAAGTGAGCAGCCATATCCATGTACGCTTGATGCTTCGATCGGCTTCGAGTAGAGTTCGGACGTACAATCTGCTATTTCTTTCTTCCCAAGCTATAATTAACCTATAGCTATAACTTTTGCTGCCAGCCACAAAAATCGTGCTGGGCTTGTATCTCACCGCTTGTATACGAGGGTGGTCTGAAAAGTTTCCGACCTCAACGTGAAGATAGCAGCACTTGTAAATAAAAGCTAGTGAATTTCGTTGTTCATCTGTTGACAGTTACTCACCGAAGTTTCAGCCATTTTGGACTCGCAGTTGTTATGTAACAGTCGTTTGAGTAAGTTGATGTGAGTGTTTTTGTGAAAATGGACAAAATCGAGTATCGAGCTGTCATTAAATATTTGTTTTTGAAAGGCAATACGCCTACGCAAATCAAAGATGAGTTGGATTCTGTGTATGGGGACTCTGCACCATCATTTACGACAGTGAAATTTTGGG